TTTAGTGTGCTTCATTTACACATACAAGTCTAGTTCGTGATCGAAGGATTTTTTTTTATGCAAAACTTTTTTTTATATAGCTGAAAATCGACCGTATTTTTTTAACGAAAATCATACTTTTGACTTTGACAGGTCGCCATTTTGTCAAATTTTTTTTTTTTTTAATCCTTCGATCACGAACTAGATAATCTTATAATAAATGTAAATCAATTTTATTTTTGTATTTCAGACAAAGTATACTTGCAGAATGCTGGTCACCGCAATTCGCCTTTTTTCTTAAGACGCCACTTCAATGGCTCATATCTCCAAAAGTTTTTGTTAAAAAAAAATTTTTTTTCTTTTAAATTACAGTTTTTTACATGTACTTTTAACTAATAAATAGTATTCTTTAAAAAGATTTATTGTTCTTTTGGAAAATATTCTTGAAAAAAACATTATTTTTTGAGTTACAACTGGTGTTCCCCCCTTAAAACAATTCAAAAATACCCGCCGTGAAAATGACTTTTCACGCATTTTCACGGTCCAGAAATAATGTTCATCTGATCGAAATTTGAGGTATAAAAGCACGTTGAGAAAGCATATATTAGTGAAGAAGATGAGAGAAATTATAAAGAAATTCTTTTTGCTTCCAATACACATAAAAAGAAATACAGCTCCTCTGAACCAATTCGTACAGATAAAAATTTTAAATTTATGAATTTTATATCTGGACTGTACCCACAAAGAAGGGAACCATATGTCAGTGGTAGTTCACTGCCCAAATTTATGATTACAAACAGAAATTTTAAACCAGACTATATCTATTGGGATGACCCGAATAAATTGGTTGACCGTCTTCGGCTTGTCATAGCATCTCAATCAGCTGGTAATCCTAGTCATAATAATGAAATAATGTCCATCATTGAAGAATTGCGAGAAGCTAAAATCATATATTAATACGTGTTTCTGCAAATTTCATCTATTTCAATTATGAGCATTGATGTGTTCGGACAATCCCCTCAATAGAGGAGGAACTGTAGCAGAAAAACCTGGACCACCTGGAGTTGGTTTAAAAGTAGATTCAGAAGATAATCATGACTGTGAAGGTGAAAGAATTTGTAACCTTGCAAAAGCTACAGCAGAGGGTGATGCAGTTAATTTATTACTTACGCAACGTATGATAAAGAACGAAGTGCGACTAGTATATCAAGTTACCCGGATAGCACCGAAACTTCCCTGAACATTGACTGAACCTCGCTTGGGGGCCATCCATAAATTACGTTGCACTATTTTTCACCATTTTCGACACCCCCCCTCCCCCTTGTTGCACTTTTTGCATACATTAGCGCCATTTTTTCTGTTGCATGTTGCAAATTCTTGACCCCCCCCCTCTCCCTTAAGCGCAACGTAATTTATGGATGGCCCCTTGACGAGGTTCGGGAACTTGAGTCGCGAGGTCCAAACGAGGTTGAGTTGATGTTTAAATGTACGCGCATAATAAAGGTCAGTCACAGAGATTGGCTGAATATTGGGTTTGAATTTCTGTTAAATATTAAACGTTTTAAAAATGTTCAATATTACTATAACACCGTCCGACACGATTTTTCACACACGAAAAAATCAACGATTTTCAGAAACTACGACCAAAAAAAAGATACCCGTGTCTGGCCGTTTTGATAGATCAGGTCATTTTTTGCTTTTAGGGGTTAAAACAACCCTTAAATGAAAGGTGATAAGAAATCTTGTACAAATTAATAATTTTTTATGAAACCTGGTATCTCAAAGTTTTCCGGGTCGCTGATTACGAATCTGATGTTATATTTTTAAAATTCAAAATGGCGGATCCAATATGGCGGTCGAAATGTATAAAAATTCACCAATTTATTTGAAAGTTGTTACTTAGGGGTTTTTGGGGTCGCTGATTACGAATATGATGTCAGATTTTCAAAATTCAAAATGGCGGATCCAATATGGCGGTCGAAATTTATAAATATCAATTATTTTTTGTAAAACTTGGTATCTAGGGGTTTTTGGGGTCGCTGAGTACGAATGTGATTGTGGATTTTTAAAATTCAATATGGCAGACTCAATATGACGGTTGAAATTTATAAAAAAATTTTAATTTTTTATAAAACTTGGTATCTAAGTGCTTTCGGCGTCTTTGAGTACGAAAATAATGTCAGATAAGAATAATAAAAACGCCAAATCTAATAAAGGTGAAGATCACAAATCTGAAAAATAATTTTGAAAATTTTAATTTTCGATCAATTTTTTGTTAAAATTTGCAAGCCAACATTTTAAAATTTTTATTTTAAGTGATTTTTAATAAATTAAGTTTCTATTAGAATTAATTAATTTAAAAGGTTATAATCAAAATTTATTAAACAAATATAATGCAATAAAATAAAATTAATAGTAGAAGCATAACAACTCTTGTATTACGTTTGTGTAAATTTTAGACGCTTATTTTTACGATTTAAAGATTCGACCACCATATTGGATTCGCCATTCTGCATTTTGAAAACCCGACATCAAATTTGTAATCAGCAACCCCAAAAACCTTCAAGTAATAAGTTTCAAGTGAATTCGACGAACTTTTATAAATTTCAAACGCCATATTAAATCTGCCATTTTGAATTTTAAAAATCTGACTTCAGATTCGTACTCAGCGACCCCAAAAACCTCTAGATACCAAGTTTTACAAAAAATAATTAATAGTTAGAAATTTCGACCGCCATATTGGATCCGCCATTTTGAATTTTCAAAATCTGACATCATATTCGTCATCAGCGACCCCAAAAACCTTCAAGTAACAATTTACAAGTGAATTTGATGAACTTTTATAAATTTCGACCGCCTTATTGAATCCGTCATTTTGAATTTTGAAAATCTGACATCATATTCGTAATCAGCGACCCCAAAAACCCCTAAGTAACCATATTCAAATGAATTAGTGAATTTTTATAAATTTCGACCGCCATATTGGATCCGCCATTTTGAATTTTGAAAATCTGACATCAGATTCATAATCAGCGACCCAGAAAACCCCGAGATACCAGGTTTCATAAAAAATTATTAATTTATACAAGATTTCCTATCACCTTTCATTTAAGGGTTGTTTTTACTCCTAAAAGCAAAAATTGACCTGATCTAGCAAAACGGCCAGACACAGGTATCTTTTTTTTGGTCCTAGTTTCTGAAAATCATTGATTTTTTCGTGTGTGAAAAAAAAAGTTGAATTTTGTCGGACGGTGTAATAAATTTTATTCCTTTGTAAAAATCATACAAAAAAATTATGTTGAAACTTTTCAATAAAACAATTATCAAAACATTTATCGCATATTGATGAAAATGTTTAAAAAATAATGAAGTTAATTTTGAAAGTCCTAAGTACACCGCTTTTCCGCCAGAGGCGTCATAATCGGTGATATCTAATATGCAATTTCGGATCAATTAATTCTCCTAAAATAGGGCTATGTTTTTAATAACAGTGAGTGCTCCTTATACTATACTTCGTGATATTACCACAAATTGATGGTACCTTTGACGTAAATTTGAGCTACGTTCTCCTTTGACCTATAACCTTTGATATTTTAAGGGGGAGGGTCATCTCTTGACTTTTGATACTAATTTTGAGGTTATTTCCATCAAAAACCAAAGTTTTTGACATATGTCCTTGATTTTTGAGGTTATCTTTTAATCTGTGTTTCTGTCGTTTGACCTAAAGTATTTTATAATTTTTAACCTACAAGAGGTGGCTGGGTTTGAAGTATAGATACAGTGAATTCCCGCGGAGCATTCAATGGTAGGCGAGTACAGTGAGTTCCCGGATTGCGTTTATTCTTAATCAGCACGAAAACTTGCAGCAAACTTGCAGGATGCTTGCCGTGCAAGATTGCAGGCACACATGTAGCAAGTTTTGTGCAAGCAACAAAATGTCCTCTCACGGCAAGTTTGCTGCAAGCTTGTAGAATAAAAAAAAATTTTTAGAAACAATTTGTTTCTAAATAAACATAAAGGGCACTCTGCTTTGGAGGTTAAAAAAATTATTGCGCAGCTATAGGAGCTTCCGTTTACAACTGCGCATCATGTCTTTTTTATAATATTGTAAGGATATCTTTTTATAATATTGTAATGATAAATTTATAAATAATAATAAAAATTATATTATAATTGAAACTTATTTTTCTCTACCTATAAATACCAAGTAGGAAATATACACTGATGCTGCACACGATGAAGAATATTTATTTATTTTTTTTACTTTCAACTGTCACTTAGTATATCAATTAATGACGATGAATAAAAATATCCGCCGGGTTAACCATAAAATATTACGAAATCAAGAATTGTCAAAATTTTAAAAAAGCAAAAGGAACAGAAAAACGACTAACTTTAAGCGTAGATAGACGGAATGAATAAATAAATACGGAAATTATTATATGTAATTTTATTAAAATCACTATTCACTTAATCAAAACCCCATTCTAAATAAAATTGTTATCCAATATTTTTCTACATATTTCTCTATTACAATTTTTATTAAATTTATTGTACCTACTGAATTTATTTATTAATTACTTTTTTGACTATTGAAATACCGTTTTAAACAATTGAGAAGATGAATTCGCAATTCAATTTAATGGAGAAATATTTATTAAATCTCGAACATCAAATGTTAAATTTAAAGCGTGAAAGTCAAAAGAGTGAAATGTTAAAAAAATAAATTATCATTTAATTGATTATAATTTATCGTTCTATTACGCAATTTTATACTGGATTATTCACGTTAATAAAGTGCTATTCAAGATAAAGACGAACTATTACACTAAGGTCAACTCGATTGCAAGGAAATGACGCTAAAAGTATAAAAGAATATGCTAATAAAATGTAAATAGGGTAGTACGAAATATATAAATGAAACCATAAGTATTTTTTCATTTTAAACTTCAGCATTAGAAAATTTATTCATTGTTTCAATATTCGTTATTATTTTACAGTCAATACTCTAAACAATAATAATAAATGTTAACCAATATTTCACTGAAACGTGTCGATAATTCGAAATTTTATTCGTCCTATTATCATATTCTCTCGTTGACTTTTGTGCCATGGCCACTTGACAACATCGGACAATCCGATTTAAAAATTCATTATATTCACATTCATATATGTACAACTGCGCCATTGACGAATTTAATGGTTTGTATAGTAGTGGCAAGGTACGTAGACTTGAAAAGCTAACACGTTTCGCTCTACGTACTGACTCAAAGACTTTGGCAGAAATTCTGGAATGGCGCATTTAGTATAAAAATACAATAAAAGTCACTTTAACTAACAACTTGTCCTTTTAAAGGATATATTCTCTTCATTTTGTTACTCTCCAATACTTGCAAAGTGCATATTCGCGCTAATATTCTACGTCAGTAACCAATATCTTGCATCAAGCCTTAGTATGAAGTTTCTCTGCGACTGTGTGTAATCTGTAGAAAGACAAAGTTAACAAATTAAACTCTGAAATACTTTTATTTTTTAAATTATAATTTCTTAGAAAAACTAAACCCTCCAAAAGGAAAGCATCATAAAATTCTTACTCCTATGTTTTAAATAAAATTTAATTAAAGTCATTATTTTTTAATTAATTGTTTTAAATTAAGTGGGGTTAGGACATTCTCTCAGATTTCAACAACTTGAGGGGGGAAACACGTGTAAAAAAAATTTTTTTTTTTACTTCAAATGCTCCCACATGCAGTTAACGCTACGCACGAGATCGCTCTACTCTTTCGCTTTCTTGTCAATATAATTTTTTTAATTGTTAGTAGCAACCACTATTACCAAGTGATAGCAAAGCTTGGTTTTAGTACAATAGTTATTTTTGAAAACATAACGTCTGCAAGACAATATTTAAAACACTACTTTTTAGAATCGAAAACTTTAAACGCATTTTTCGCAAAACGTGTTTTTTCGAGCGCCGTGCAATGCAATTTTTAACCGTTTTTCATGAAACTTACACTGAGAAAAGTTAAACACAGATTTCATACTAAATACACGTTCAGATAGTGTACCTAACCTTTTTAGCAACATCGGTTCTAAATTGTATCGCAGCTGCGCTTTTTGGTGGACAGATACTGTACTAAATCGTTTATCCCACAAGTTAGGTCAGAATCTGTACTCAATTGGCGCTGCTGCTGTTCGATTTTAGTACTGGGTCTGCACATAATTGAGGTACAATATCTGTTCCTCAAAAAATGCAGATGTTGCGTTAAACTTCTCTCAGTGTACCAAAAATCTTCTTTAATCCTACACTGAAAAAATTTTGGTGCAACAGTTGCCCCAAACGAAAAATTTTAATATTCAATTAACTTCACACTTAATATTTACCATGAGATTTTATATGAGTAAATCTAACTGAATAAAGAAATTTTTCGTTTGAGATAGCAAAATTTTTTCAGTGTAGAAAGCACATTTGGGGTAGAAAACTACCCCAGAAAAAATTCAAATTTCAGTATTTTTGAAGATTTTGTGTTTTTGTAATTTTTTGACCATATTTTTGATCCAATCAAAAAACGCTATCTTCTTCTTTATAAAAAAAGGAAGAAAATTATTTATAAGAAAGTTATTTTGCGTCAAATATAAACATTCTAGCAACAAAACAATTTTGGGATGGTTTTCTACCCCAGATGTGCTTCTACGTATGAGCCAGCTATGTTATGCTGTCTAGGGTTAACTAACCGGCTATTGCATGACGAGCTGCTTTAAAAAAAAAATTTAACAATCTTTTTCGTTGATTGTTTATAAAAAATTTATTTTTTTCAAAACGGTCCCAAATTTAAAAAAAAAATTTTAATTTTCTCTGCGTTATGCAAAGCGTATTTCTGTATTTCAACGATAAAAATTTTATTTTTTGATTTTGGTTGACATTTGAGACCAGTACGCTGCACGACGCAAAACCAAAGATCTAACTTCAAACGCCTGCAACGCTGCTATTTAGTAATATTTTTAATTAAAAAAATTATTATACGTACTATATTGTACACTTTAAGGTATGCTTTATTTCAATTTAATAAACTTTACCACTTTTTGTAAAAAAAAATCTTGAAAAAACGTTCTTTTACACAAGTTTCCTCCCTTAATTATTATTTAATATCGATGGCTGGTAATTAAATAAAAGTCATCATTCAGATAGGATCCTACGTGAGTTCCTTTAAAAAAGCACATTTTATGCTTTTAAAGTATGTCACTATTACTATAAGAGTATAACCATTATACTTATTTAGTATGGACTTACTGTAAACTAAAAAAGCATTATTTCACACTTTAATAGGTAAACGAAATTGTATACTAATAAAGGATAAAGCAGTTTGGTGCTAAAATAGTTAGTTTGTTTTTTCCGTGCACTATAAATATAAATTGATAATATTGAACTTGATCAAATTCAAGATTAAAGGTAACATGTATCGAAGTGTCGATTCTCCCCACCCCCATTTGAGAAAATCAAAATGTCGCGCTTTTCTATTTTCCGAATTAATTAAGATTAAATATCAATCTATAAATTTTCAAATTTTATAATTTAACAAAATGAGTCGAATTAATTGATCTAATTATATTTTGCGTTATTTTTTTTTATTTAAAGAATATAATTACGAATATGAAGCATTTCACTGAGATTGTAAAAATATTTTTTTTGCGTTATTAATTATTCCGTACAATGTCGCGTAGTAGTTGATCTTTTTATGTTATAATTTCTTTTTTTTGAGTTAGGGGATATTTCTCATACAATGTAAATTCTAATAGAGAAATTTATATAATATATCCTATTGTTCATATGATAATTTATGATGTTTTTTTATTGCTGAAAATACTCTCTTAAGAAAATCCACACCCCAAATGTTTCTGAAACCTAGAGCTAGCTTATTGAAGTTTTATTTGTGATTTTTTCCGGTAAATGGATTTTTGAGTTTAAACTTTTGACAAATTTTGACGTTATTAGTTATTCATATTACTTTAGCCAGATGGCTTTAGGATATTGAAATAACTATTTTGAATTTCTTTTGTTGTTCATGCTGACGTTGGTTCTATCAAGAACCTGGCGCCCAACAAAGTTATTTGTTTGAGAATTTTGTATTTTTTTATTGAACTCGAATATTCATTCCGAAGGTGATCGCGTTAAAATTCTTATTGTCAGAAGAATCTCGATAATTAAAGGTTTTACAAATTTTCATTTATGATTAATTTTGAGACAATCTAAAATTTTGATAAATATCGATGTTTGAACATTTTGAAATCCTATCCACTCCATTGTAAAATTTTTAATGTCTCAAATAGTTTACAACTAAAGTAAATCAGTGTAACGTCCAGCGTTATTTCTTATAATTTTTCTATTTTCTTTTTATTTTATTTTTTTTAATTTCTTATCGGTTCTTAGAAAACAAACATCTGTTTTTTTCAAAACTATGTTTTCTTTTTTATAAATGATTTATTTCTTCCTTTTAGAACCGATAATGAAACCAAAAACCTTAAGTGGTCTACACTTGTAAGATGCACTTGGAAGTTCAGAAAATCAAACATTTGCTAGTTAATAAAATTATAAAATAAAATAATTTCTCACGACGGGTCCAAGAGTTCCTGTCGCCGAGACTTCTGTTAGCAATAAAAATTGTTAAAGTTTCCAAAAAAAGGAAAAATATCAAATTACAAAGATTGTTTGATTTCTAATTCTTAAAAACAATACCTTACACGTTGCAATAGTAATTTTTAAGGGGTTACACCACTTTGACCCGATCAAAAAATACGCTTTTTCAACAATTTTTATTGAAGAATAGAAATTTTCTTAAGGAAATTAAAATACAGTAGAGTATTATACTACTCTTGAACTGGAAAAAAATGTATTTTTGCCTGCGGTGGGCACTATAACTCGGTCCAGATTTGAGCTAGATCAAAATAAAAAAGCATTAGTTGTTGTAGCTAAAATCTAGCGAAATACGTATCCGTTTTAAGAAAATGCATTTTTCGCAAAATAGCATCAATTTGAAAGAAAAAGTGACTGTTTGTTTATTAAAATTTCGTTACTTAAAGTTGTTCAGAAAAATTAAATATTAATATTTCAAAAAATCCGTACGTATTTCGCTAGATAATTATATCGCAATCAAAATAAAAAAACCAACAGGATTAATTGAAATTTGTGACAGCTAGAGTACCCACCGATTTTTTAAATGTAGTTTTGAGAAAAACGCGTTTAAAGTTTTCTTAACAGTTTGGTTCTGTTTAACAATGATTAAATTAAAAATTACCTCTAATCAACTACGCCGGGTTCATATATAGTATATTTATTCTATGCCTATAAGATGTACTTTAAGTAAAAAAAAAATTTTTTAATTTTTTAAAAATTTCAAAGTGGTGTAACCCTTTAAATAAATTTTAAATTGTTTCTTTAATTATTAGTTAAATTTTAAATATTAGTGTATGGAATTTTAAATTAATTGATTAATTATAACTGAGTAATAAATTTCTATAAAAGTAACATAATTAAATTTTAATTAACAAATTAAATTGATTTTGAAGTTCTAAACATTATTATAAGAATGAGTGATCATTTAGACTATAAACAATAGAAATTGTAGCGATTTATTGGTGTAATGTCGATGAGTAGCGTCTTATAGTGTGTAGAATGTGTGAGAAGACGAAGAAATTACGAAAAGTAGGAAATTGGGTGTCCTGCGCTGTATTGCGTGATTAAATTAGTGTAGTCAAAGACCTCGAGCACGTCGTATGTGCAAAAGTGATCTAATCGCCGACTACGATTTTTTATAATTTTTCACAACGCCCAATTTGGCGGTTAGTGCATAATTAGTAGAGCACTGTGATTTGAATTTTCGCTTCGGTGAACGACCGAAACAATTTAATTTCATCTACAGAATTTGACGATCTCACCGTTTCTTTTTGATTTGTATTGTAATCTCTCGAAGGAGAGACAATACCTGCGACAAAAACCAAGAATATCGAAAGCGATCGCTACGAAAGCGCTCAAATAAACTCCGATCTTTGGGGGATGCTTCGCTCCTATTGAAAATCCCCACATGGGATCGGATCCTATGTCAAAAACTATGTAAAACCCCACTCCTATATAGGAAACCATATGGTTTCCCATATAAATCCCAATGGGAAATTGAGACAGGAATTGACATAGGAAAATATCAAAACGAGGTTCCTCATTTCCCATGAAAATCCCATGTCAAAATACAATGTTAAATACTAAATGAAATCCTTTATCATTTTTTTTTTAATTTTGCCATGTCAAACCCTATGTCATTTCCCAAGTAAAAACCTTTATCATTCTTTTAAAAAAATTTTCCATGTCAAACCCTATGTAATTTCCCATGTCAAATCCTTTATCATTTTTTTGAAAAATTTCCCCATGTCATTCCCCATGTGAAATCCCTTATCATTTTTTTCATAAATTTTTCCATGTCAATTCAATACAATT